CCACCCCATTTGCTATGGCAGTGTATTCAATATACGTCACAGAGCTGGGTGTGATCTGTGTTAATGGAATTGTGCAACTGCTGGGAGAGACTCACCGCTTTAGGCATCAGTCTAGGCATCAGCATTAAATCCATGTACCTGGCAAAGCAGCAGCCTCCCAGTGCTCAACTTAGCACTAACATTACCCCCCTGGGTCCTTTGCTGTACATGATTAATTCTGCTCGTTAAGCATTGAAGCTGTTTCCTAGTCCTTAAGCTACAAGTCTGAAACTCCACCACTATATTTGGCATCTCCCTGTGACCCAACAAAGTCAGCTTTACTCCATGGGCAAGACTGCAAATCCAGTCTTGGACAATTTGGCTGAAAATACTGCACAAGGTGCCTGCCACATGATAGCAGTCAACCTGCCAGGATAGGTATTGGTCTTTGCATGGCCAGAAAATACTGCTGTGGCTGAGAGCCTGAAGTTTACATTTCATTGTCCTTATCCCTAAGTTTGGATTCTTTTAGCTTGTCACAAGGTGCTCGTTTGAAATTGTAGTATTAATCTACAGCAGCAGGTCTCAGGTTGTTATCCCTGGTCCACCTCGGTCACTGAGCCCCCTGTAAATTAGCTGTGAAACCTCACCTGCCTTTCCAGTGGCTCCAGTTAAAACCTCTGTGTGTTCAGGTAAGAAGAGCCTTTGCTTCATGCTCTTGAACACATGGAGTAACCTTAGTGTGAAGGAAAAAAAGCATCAAACAGCTGTTTGGCAGTGTGTGTTTGAAACTTGATCTTATTATTTATAAACTAGGGTTTAACCTTTTAAAATGTTTATTATTATTATTATGTCTCAGCAGTAAAACACCATCACAGTTCTTGCAGATGTACTTTTTTCTTGCATTTGGGTTTACCTTTCACTGCTTTAATGAAAACTTGCTTGTATTTGCAGTTCCAAGGTGTCATTTGTCTCACCAAAACAGCCAAACTCTGAAACATGAACTGGATTCTTTTCTGGCTTGTTCTTTTGGGGGGGCGGGAGAAAAAGAAAAAACCAAAGTTGTTAATCAGTGGCCTATCTTCAGAGCAAGCCTGTGTAGGGACTGGCTCCAGACAATGCTATCACTTACACCTGTGTAATTGATCATATCAGAATTCCTTTCAGGCAACTCTGAATATCATTTGAGGTCTGTGAGGTGTGGCCGGAAACAACATTTGGACTATGAAACTGAGCATGAGGAGAATGTAGGTTCATCATCAAATCCTAAACTGAGATCTGACAGACTAACAGTAGAAGAAGAAAAAAGAAAACTCTTGGTTTCAAACAGAGAAGAAAACCTCTCCGAAGTCATTAAGCCACAGGCTATGGAACTGTCTTGCTTTGAGTAGGACTGTAATTTAAGTACTGAAGAGCTCCACTTGGCTCCCTTAGCAAGGTTACAAAGTAACCTATTAGAAACACAATGCTACCTCTGTATTGGGAGGCAGTAGAAGCCTCTGGACAGGCAAGCCTTCAAGGGATTGTTATATAGTACAACCACCAAATGTACAAATAGAGTAATCATTGAGAGGTAGATAACTATACACTCCTGAACTCTGAAGTCAGTTCCAATCCCCAGCCCTGTCCCTCTTGTTTTAGACAAAACTGACTATTAAGCACAAGAGTGATGCGCCTTGATGAAAACAAAACTGGTGTTTGATACATGCCCTGTGCTGTGCTGGGTTATATCCATGCCAGCCCTTTAAGGCCCTTGATATCAGGGCTGACTTCTGTGCAGTGACCAAACCAACAGCAGCAGTAACTAAGAACAGTGGCAAACAAAGAGTCTCTATATTCCTGATATGCAAGTGAAATATGAATGGGGGAGCCCAGCGAGATTCTGTATTCCATCTCATCCAGAAGCACAGACCAGATTGGGCAGCTGGTGCAGCACTGGGTGCACAGGTATGTTTCACTTGCAGAAATGCAACCCCCAAGCTTGGAACAAACCCATTGATGCTGCAGTTTATTGTAGCTGTGACATATTGGAGCGCACAGGACTGTGTGCTCCCTCCTGTCACTTGTGAAAGCTCCTGTTGCACTCTGTACTGATGACTTCTGGCTCCTACAGCTTCCTTTTCCCCCATGGAAAATGCAGAGCAATGGGAGCAGGTGGTTGGAGGCTGCTCAGGGATGCCCCAGGGAAGGGTTAGGGTTAGGGCAGAGTGTCCCCAGCAGCCCTGCTCCCCTCTGCAGGTGGCTCCCCAGCATCACTGGGAGCTTACCCATGGGAGCCAGCCTTACTGGGAGCTAAGTGGGGCCATGAAGCTTAACATGGACCTCCTACAGCGACTGTGGCTCCTGGGAAGTCACTGGGCCAAATCACCAATTGATTACAGGAAAGTGGTGTTCATTAAGAATAAAAGCCTGCTTGTATTTAAACCAGATTTAATTGTATTCACACTGAAAGACTCTGGATGTTCCCTTCCTTCGGTCCTCAGCCATAAGATTGAGACACTTTACATCCCAGAGAATGGCCCTCTTCCTGTTAAAAAAATCAGTGTATTCCCCAAGAAAAATACAACAATGTCTACAATGGCAGGGCAAAACAGAAAGATTTCTGACAGAAAAGGGTAACAGAAAATTATAGCAAAAGGACAGCTGACAGATGTGGACATGGAGCTTGGAAATAGTAATGTGGAAGGTCTGATACAGCCTTTCGAATGTGATTTTAATAAAAGAAATTTGGAAACAGCCCTAATTCTGTCTATTTTATTAACATAGATTTTATTGCTGTTTTATATCATCAGAAAGGCTGCTATAGTTGTTAACATGTCTATGCTCAGTCTTTTCATCCACACATCCTTCTACGTGTGCCTCTCCAGACCCAGTTTTCCCTTTGAACTTCACTGCCACCATAACCTGGTAAAAACAGGCTTGGAGAATTCAGAGCAGAAATGTCTTTCTGGTGCTTTTACATGCTGTATGGCACAGAAGCCCGCTGAAGAATTGGAGCCCTACTAGCACTCAGAAAACAGGCATAAAAATATTTTCTCTCTCTTAGGTAGCTTTGTCCACTTTCTACAGCTTTTCATTTCCACCACAACTCAGCTGCCTAGAAGACTTTCTCTGCAAAGATTGGAAATGAAGACTTCTACATACAGGCTTAACATCATAGTGCTGCCCAAGAAAGGAAAGTTAATACCTGTTGTCTCCGTGGCTTATTTCACTGTGTATTTAAAACCACACTAAAGATCCTGTGGTCCTCTCCCACCCCCAAAACATCCCTGTGTAACTGATGATGATCCAGAGAAATGCCCCGGAGCAGGGGTAACAGTAGGATATTACTTGATTGGCTCATGCTGTACAACAGGCAGTGGTAGCCCCTGAAGGGTCCAGGGGCCTCTAGCACTGCCACAGTCCCTTCTGGGAGGAACCAGGAAAGAGGAGCCTTGTGCTGTCAAGCAGCCCCATCTGCAGGAACTGTGCCACCCATGGCCCTTGAGACGCCTCTTGGCATCCCTTCGTCTTTGCCTCTCACTTGCTAACAAGTCCTGTTAGCACCTGTTTGTCTAGGTCTCCCCCAGCCTGTTTCACACTGCCAGATGATAACCCAAATTCTCCGTTCCCACTCATCTGTGGTCCAAGTTTGTTTCCCTGTGAATTGCTGCAGCAAATTTCTCCTGATTGTCCTAAATCTCAGTACTGGGGAAGATCTCCATCATTGCTTCACTGAGGAGTGATGTCTTTGAGACCCCCCAGTCCAGCTGATCCAGAGTTCAGGGAGGGTCAGGAGATCACTTTGGGACATCAGATTTGTGTGTTAGGGTGAAAAACTGACCCCATCTCAAGGAGAAGAACACTCCAGTTCTGCTTGCACATGGTCTAGGTACTCTTGAAATCCCCTCTCAGCAGCCTGCAGTCAACATTATGCACATCCAGATTTTAAAAAACCAAAAACAAACCAACAGAAATTAAAAGAAAACACCAGGACTGCCTGCAGAGTCGGTGCTGCCCAGAGATAAATCCTGGAGAAAGAGGAACTGTCAGTCCAAAGTCCCATGGCAGAATCTGTACTGAAAAATCTGATACCCAGAGGAAGGTTCTGAAGAGTGAGGAGGTAGGAAATAGAAAGATACTGGAATATTCAAAAATCCTTAACTGTATATGTCCCATAAGGGTGCTCTGCTATCTGGGCAGTACAGCTGGTACCAAACACTGTGGCAGTAAGCACGAGCACTGCAAATATGTGAGAGGGTCAAAATTTAAAAAATGTCCTTAAAAATCACATGGGCCACTAACACAAAATTATGCTTCTTTGATTTCTGCCAGAACAGCCCTGTAAATTCAGCAATATTTTTTCTAAGAAGGATCTAGAAATAAAACACACACCTGTAGTACTGCATGGGGTGTGATGGGAAGATGACCAAATACTTATGTGTAATTCTAGTTACTGTATCCAAAGGATAATGCACAACAATAATTTATCTTTATGCTGCTACTAAGGTTGCAGTACTGCATGGGCAAAGCTGAGTACCCAAACCAGTCCCCTTGTCCCAGTCATGTTTAAGTGGTAGGGTCCTACAAACACAATTTTATATTTATGCCTGCCACAGCATCATCAAACATTATCACTCACCACTTCAGCTTCTTCCACTGAGAAAGACTTTGAGCTGTTTAATGCACCTGATGCTGATCATTCCTGCCTGAAGCCATGGTTAAATGCATTCACCTGTCAGTGCTTTATTTACTTCTGGGGCATTTTGCTAGAGGCATTCAATGGGCAGAACATATTTCTTTTTCTTTTGAGATTAGAAATTATGTGAAATACTTATGAGTTAATAATTTTTTAGCTTTAAATCCGTTGGCCTTGACTTTCTAGAGATTTGTTTCAGGGCTGGAGAGGAATGTTTCCAGGTGAACCTGATTTGGTTCTGACAGTTGTGACAGATGTAGTTCATTTGGGGGAGGGAAGGAAAATAGTGAAGGGAGGATAAAAGGCTTTGGAAGGTGGTTTAGAGTCCTTTCTGTCAGGGAAGCTTTCCAGTCTTCTGTCTTAGTAGCTGCCTGTTGTTTTCTCCTTCATATTATGCCATCACCTGTTCCTCTTAATCGTTTTCTTTCTTTTGAGTATTCCCCCTCCGCAAATTTGCGCCCCTGCAGCAGCCCTTTAGTTATCCCTGGCAAAGACAGCAAAAGCTTTTTGGGGGGAGCCTCTTCAACCAGGACTCATCGCTTGCCCTCACGCCTGTCCTGGTGCTCCATTGACTGGGAGCAGCTCTGCCTCCTGCAGCCCTTAGGATCTGGGGGCTTTGGCTCTGTCTACAAAGCCACCTACCATGGTGCAACGGTGGCTGTGAAGCAGGTGAAGAAGAGCAGCAAAAACCGGCTGGCATCGCGGCAGAGCTTCTGGGCTGAGCTGAACGTGGCCCAGCTCCAACACGATAATGTGGTACGTGTGGTGGCTGCCAGCACCTGTGCCCCGGCCAGCGAGAACAGCCTGGGCACCATCATCATGGAGTATGTGGGTAACATCACTCTGCACCATGTAATTTATGGCACTGGGGATGCATGGAGACAGGGGGAGGACGATGAAGAAGGATGTGGAAGGAAGGCCCTGAGCATGGAAGAGACCGTGTGCTATTCTTGTGACATCATGACAGGCTTAGCCTTTCTGCACTCACAGGACATTGTGCACTTGGACCTGAAGCCTGCAAATGTTTTCATCACTGAGCAGGGAGTGTGCAAGATTGGAGACTTTGGGTGCTCCCAGAAACTGGAGAAGGGCTCGTCCCAGAGCGCCCGCGTTTGCCAGCAAGGGGGCACGTACACACACCGTGCCCCTGAGCTCCTCAAGGGGGAGAGGGTCACTGCCAAAGCGGACATCTACTCGTTTGCCATCACCCTCTGGCAGATGGTGACGCGGGAGCAGCCGTACCTGGGCGAGCGGCAGCACGTGCTTTACGCCGTGGTCGCCTACAACCTGCGCCCTTCGCTGGCCGCCGAGGCCTTCCAGGGGTCAGCGGCCGGCTGCACCCTGCGCGGCATCGTCAGCTGCTGCTGGAAGGCCAACGCAGAGGAGCGGCTGCGTGCAGACCAGCTGCTGCCCAGCCTCAGGGCCCTCAAGCAGAGCCTCTAGGACAACTCGGCACTCTTTATATTCCTTGTGTCCACTTTTCTTTCCCTCTACTCTTCCTCTAACTAGTTTAGCCACTGTGAGATCTAAAGGTTTTGTTGCTGATTTTTATACTTGAAAAAAACAAACCCCAAACTGTTTTGATATAAGAAAATTTAAAATAAAGAGATTAATGGAACTGGGGTTTTATCCTGGAAGGGAATAGTGGCAAAGATGAAGATGCTGGCAGACACAATTTTTGTCTGGTTGATGTGTTGTGTGCTGCCTTGCTCACTAGGAAATGTGACGTGCAGAAAAATTATTGGTTGTAAGTAAGTGAAGTACAAACAAGGGTCTGCTTTTGGAAGGTTCTTTATGCATAATACCTTTTGGTATTTTTAAAATGTCAAATATGAGTAGTTCTTGACACCAGCTAGGGTAGTGTATTTGAGCTTTTCCTGTTCACTTACCAAGGAATGAGTATGTATTACAAATGCAGAAAAATAAATACAGTGTGTCAGTGGTCTATTTAACCCGTTCTTAGATGTGTTAATTTCAGTAAGTATACTGCTTCTGATACGGAAAATGTGAACTACTCACATACTCCTTGAAATAAGGAACCTTTTTGTCAGTCTAAGCCTACTAAGAGTAAGAAGTTGTATTAACAACCTGTCCTTTTTATAAGGCTTCCCTGCTATGAGGTGTGTCAGTAGCAACTTGCTAGTTGGAACACTGTAAATTTTGAAGCATTGTGAGATTTTGTGCAGAACAGAGTTTAAAAAAAAAGTAGGGGGGAAAGAATGGTCAAGTGAGGATTATTTTGCTTTATAACACATGGCTCAGTATTGGACAAGATACTGGAAGTACTGAATAGGAAGTTTGCTTACAGCAGTAATAATGTTCCTCTGCCGGTGCTCAAAGCATGCACTGTTGAACTATCCTGTGCACGGCTTATGTCTTATCTGCTATCTTTCCTAATCTGGTTGTAGTGTGTCTGGGAAAGGAAGTGCTGTAGGCAATGCTGAAGACAAAAAGCTCTGATCCCTGACTTATCAGAACTGATAATTGTACATCTGCACCCTTATCTGGAGCTGCCTGCTGTAGATGATATTGCCATTCTGCTCAAAACCTCCGCTTCTTTTTAAGACAGGAGGAAGAATGATGTTTCAGTCAAATTGATTTTTCTTCTTTACCCTTCCTCCCCCTTGCTTCCATTCTGGAAAAAAAAAAAATCCCAAAGGAATTGAGCCCGTTTCCTGATTTCTGACACACATCTGTTCTTAGCCCCGTGAAATCCTGGAAATGAGCAACTATGTGAATTTGAGATGATTCTGTAGGTCTTTATGGTATTTGGGTTGGTAATTGAAATTAATGGTTTATAAAGCATATCTAAGCTTAACTATTTCTTGGTCTTCTGTCCCCTTTAAGTGGAAATAGAAAATGCTGGCTGGAATAAAAAACCCTGAAGTAAATTCTGGAAAAGTTTCCTGTGTTTCTCTTTCAAAATAATTATGCTATAGAACTAGATTTTTTTGTGTGTGTGAGTGTTGTATAACTTATTTAATAAAGAAGTTGTTTTATAGAAGTTATCATAAGTCAGTTACCTTTTGAAATGATTAGCTGAGGGCATGCAAGATAAATTTTTAGATAAAGCCATTGATGTGCCTTACCTTAACATCAAGCAATAAAAATGTTTCTACAGCTTTGAAAATAATAAAAAATCGAGTTAATTTTTTTAGTAGTTCCTAAATGCTTGTGTTGTATTTATTTTGCTAGTCTAGAAATCTTGCTGCTTATACTGCTAGAAATCTGTGATTTTTTGCTTAATGATACTTTAGCATCAACAAGTGCTACTTGAGCCTCTGTGAAAAATCAAGCACCCTTCAAATTCTCTCTTGTACTTGACAGAAGGATACTGAATGGCCAAGGTCTGCTCTTGAAGTATAATCAGCTCTGCAGATGTTTCTGTCAGTTTTATGGTGCTCTCTTTTGATAGTGTGAGAGAGAACTCTGCCCAGCACTCAAGATGTAGGCACACCATACTCTGCTGCTGTAATGATGGTCTCTTTTTTTAATTAACTTCAAAGGTTTGTTTTATTTTTTGATTGCTAATGAGCTCTGAGTTAATACTAACCAAGAAATAGCTCAAGCCTAACAGCTCAGAATCCTTGGTTCTATGTGGGATGGTAAGTTTGCCTGTTTGCCTCACTTTACACCAATATACCTTGAATTTCTTTCTGCCAGTTTGTAGTTGGCCCTTGCAATTAACTCCACCATTAGCAAATTTGTTTATATTCTGGCTCTCTGTCTTGCACTTCATTTGTGGATGTGCTGGGCAGCAGACTGAAACACCAGTGGGGACTTTCTCCTGCTGAGAGAACTGACAGTTTTGCCCCCTGTGCCTATCTTTTGACTTATCCAGCCCCGGGTTTTCTCTCCTAAATGTGGCTGCTTAGTACCTTTCAAAAGTTTGTAGTGAAGGATTTTTCAAATACCTTTGGAAACCCTAAGGGAATATATCAATCTGTGCCTTATCAACATGCTGTCACTGCTCCTAAAGAATTCCAACACCACTGTGAAGTGCAATTCTTCCAATGAAAGCAATATTGGCTCCTTCTAAACAAATCATGTCTATGTATCTGTTATTTCATTTAATACACAATCTGCTAATGCATCTTGTACAGATGTCACTCATGTAATTAGGAAATTTATTTTTTAAAGACTTCCCTGGGATATGATCCGAGGGAAGGGAGAACAACAGAGAAGAAGGGCCAACAACACCTGGTTGATTTTCAAGGATTGCCTTCTCCAAGCTTAAGACTGGTCCATCCCCATGAGCAGGAAATCAGGTAAAGGTGTCAGAATGCCTCCAAGGATAAACAATGAGCTTCTGATTAAACTCAAGCATAAATAATAACTACACAAGCAGTGTGGGGTCTGAAGCAAAGAAGATTTACTATTGATAAAGAAGGATCAGGTTAGGGAACACTGAAACAAACAAGGCATACAGAAGTTCATTTGCCCTGATGGGATTCATTCACAAATGCTGAGGGGGCTTGCCAATATCATTGCTAGGCACCTCTAGGCTGTCCTTGGAAGATCATGGTGCTCAGGAGAGAATTCTGAGGTCTGAAAGAAAACAAATGTAACTCCTGTCTGCAAGATGGCTAAGAAGGAGGATATGGAAAACTTACAGTCAGTCAACCTCATCTAAATCCCTGGAAAATTGGTGGAGCAAACAACTGGAAATCATTGCTAAACATATGAAGGACAAAAAGTGGTTTGGAATAGTCATTTATGAAGAGGAAATCATGCTTGATGAACTTTGTAGCCCTTGGCCATGAGATTACTGGGTGCTGGAGGGCAGTGGTGGTTGCTCATCTTGACCTTAGGGAGGTTTTTAGCACTGTTTGCCGTTACATCCTCACAGAGAAGCTGATGAAGTACTGACTAAATAGTGAAAACTGAAAATTAGCTGAGCTACTGGGCTCACAGGGTTGTGGTCAGTGGCATGAAGTCCAGTGGGAGACCAGCCATTAGTGGTGCATCCCAGAGATCAGCCCTGCGCCCAGTGCAGGCCAACATCTGCAATCACGGCTCGGATGATGGGATGGAGCACCCTCCGCAAGTTTGCAGGTGATACAGAATTGGAGCAGTCAATACCTTGGATGGTTGTGCTGCTGTTCAGAGACAAATCTGCTGATGGCATCCAGTGCAACTTGGATGGTTGTGCTGCTGTTCAGAGACATTCCCGAGCTGGACAAATCTGCTGATGGCATCCAGTGCAGGGAGCTGCAGCGTCTGGCCCGTGCACCAGGTCGCACCCGTGGCCGGTCGCTTGGGAAGGAGTTTCTCGGGAAGGACTTTCTCGGGAAGGAGCTGGAGCTGCCGGCATTCCCGAGTTGAAGTGAGCGAGCGATGCACCCTTGCGGCAAAGGCGGCCAACAGCACCTGGGGCGCTCCGAAGGCTGCTCCAGCTCAGCCAGCGCGGCTGGGGGACATTGTCCCCGCTCTTCGCTGGGACACGCGTGGGGAAACGTGGTCGCCTCAGGGCTCTGCCAAAACAAGAAAATCGCGGATGTACCGGACCAGGAGTGCAGCAAAGGGACATTAAGTCGATCACAGGATTGGAACTTCTGCATGTGAGGAGAAACTGAGAGATGGGAGTGATCAGTCTCAAAAAAGAAGGCTCAGGGGGATGTTACCAGTTCGTAGAAATACTCATGGGAGGCAGTAAAGATGGAGCCAGTGTCCTCTCAGTGCTGCTCAGTGGCAGGACTGGATGTAATGGACACAAATAGGAGGACAGGAAACCCCATTTAAATGCAAGAGAAAACATTCTTGCTGTGAAAATGGTCAAACACTGGAGCAGGTTGTTGAGAAGGGCTAAGGAATCTTCATCCTTGGAGACACTCAGAAGCCAGCTTGACAGGGTACTGAACAAGCAGCTCCAGCTGACCCTGTTTTGGAAGGGGTTGGACCAGACAGTCTCCAGAGGTTCCTTCTAGCCACAGAAGTTATCCAATTATAATAACATTTATAGATGTTTGAATTTCAGACATCTCCTGAGCACTACAAAAATCCCTCTAGCTTGAGCCTATTTTGTATTTCCTTCAGGGACAACATACACGCAAGGGTCACTCTGCTTCTTTACAATGGCTTTGTTGTCTTGGGGGGGAAACAAGTTAAAATGTTTAGGTGAGGGTAGTCTTGATCTTGTTTTCAAGGGTTTTTTTATTTGTTTTGTTTTTCTTTAAAAACCTGACATCAGTAAATCTGCGATCTGCTAGAGTGTCTTGGCATATTTCTTGTTCTTGATATTCTGAAAATAAAAAATTATGGAGTTTATGTGAGTTCCTTGAAGGTTTCCCCTCCTCTGTTTTTATATGTAATCCACCAGACTTTTTTCCTTTTTGTTTTCTTCAGCTGGACCCAGCTTCAGGTTTTTAAAATATTCTTTCCTGCTCCTAAAGCTGGAATGATCTAATGAGTGTAGCTGCACTTTGCTCTTAACTTTGTCACACTTGCATACCAAGGCACATGATGCTAGCAGAGCAGTTGCAGACAACTGTGTCACAACTCTAAGGGGATTCTGTTCATCCAGGTTTTTCCTTTTCTATAAACTGGTTTTGTCCTTTCTCTCTCCTTGCCCATACATATGTAGGCAACACAGCTCCAGATGGTTAGCAAGACATGGTTATAAGTTACAAACCTTAAGGGCTACTTGTACAAAGTTTATTTATACTCTTTGTTTCTGGAACTGATTGCCGGTAGCTTGATCAGCCTAAAAAGAAGATTTATTGAAGTATTGCAGAGATTCAGATAATGCAACTGTAGGTCTGGGAATGGTGGTGTTGGAATGTCTTTGACAGCCAGGCATGCTCTATTCAAGGCATGGGGTATCTGATGCTAAGAACACCAAATAAAAGTGTACCTCCTCAAATAACAATCACCACTCGTCTTGACTGTGTTCTGGGGAAGGAACAAAGGCTCATTTCTTCCAACTGGTAAATGTAAAGGTCAGATCTTTCTATTAAGATCAGATCTTAAGATCAGGTCAGATCTGTCTTACTATTAACCAAGTTTCACAGCTTGATATAATTATTTTCCTTGGAAACTCAACTATTCTGGTGTTTAGTTTGTTTATTTGTTTGTTTTGGGTTTGTTTATCATGTGCTAAGTACTGTTTCTGGGGCCCTGGGATGCCATGTCACAGTAGCCAGCTTCTCAAGGTGAGCTGCTTTTTGTTTTATGTTCTCTGTCCCAAAGCAGGACAAGGTGCCTTTCAAACTTCCAGCTCTGCAGCACTGAGAGCTAACTATTCAGAAACTGGGTGGGTTAGCTCTTGCCTCATAGCAGTCTGGGGTAACCACAGCCTGCATGGAAACCTCAGCCCTTTCTCAATAATCTCCCAGTACCTAACTACCAAACCTGATTGCATTTCCTAATTTTGGAAAGTACATGTAAAGAAGATACTGTAAAGTGCTTCCATTCTCGTGGGTACTAACCCACAGCAGTAGCCCTGGACATGTTATCCATATTAGAGTGTAGTATTTTGTGCTTTCTTGGTTATACAGTGTTGTCCACTAAGGGAAAGCATGAGTCAAAAGTTCTGATTCTGGCCTTTTTTTCTTTTATTTTATAAAAAATGTCATTCACCATCCCAATCTCCCCTGACACATCTTCCTCAAATGGGCATAAAGCTTGAGAGGATGCACTTAATGAATAAATTATTTTATTTAATTTTACCTAATTCAAACTGAATCCCCAGATAAGAGCCAATACTAATTAGTGCTAGAATGGTTTTATGTCAAAATTATTTCCTAATTTTGGAAAGTACATGTAAAGAAGATACTGTAAAGTGCTTCCATTCTCGTGGGTACTAACCAACAGCAGTAGCCCTGGACATGTTATCCATATTAGAGTGTAGTATTTTGTGCTTTCTTGGTTATACAGACAGTGTTGTCCACTAAGGGAAAGCATGAGTCAAAAGTTCTGATTCTGGCCTTTTTTTCTTTTATTTTATAAAAAATGTCATTCACCATCCCAATCTCCCCTGACACATCTTCCTCAAATGGGCATATGTGTAAAGCTTTAGAGGATGCACTTAATGAATAAATTATTTTATTTAATTTTACCTAATTCAAACTGAATCCCCAGATAAGAGCCAATACTAATTAGTGCTAGAATGGTTTTATGTCAAAAT